TAATCCTTCCTCTGGTTTTTGCCACTCACCATACCAGTTCAGACCCTTCTCATACCATCTTCTACCTTCTTCTCTAATGAATTAAACAAACCTTACCTCACCACAGGACTAGCTTAAGAAGCTTTAGTAAAGAGCTGTGGTCCACTCCTGTGAATAGTAGTTGTGGTCTCCCCCTATACTCTCCCACCCCCTCCCCTATGAGCAAGAGCTGTGGTCCTGCCCTGGGTGCTGGAGCAGTGGTCTCCTCTAGTGAACTGGAATTGTCTCTGGTAAACCTGGAACTATGATCCCTTCCTGTGACCTGGAGCTGAGGTCCCCTCATGTGCACCTGAAGCTGTGATCCACGTCCCTCTGGTAGTAGGCTGATGATGGAGCAGAGTAGAGCATGGAGGATTCCTGATGCTGGGCAGCAGTTTCAGTCTTCTCTGAGTGGCTGCATTCCTCACAGCCTCCTCCCCTGAGGCCCCAGATTATGCATGACAGAGGTTTTGCTTCTTATACTGGGGACAGGGGAGGCCTCTGTTATTTGCAGATTCTGGTCTTGGGAGGATTGATTCTCCAGAATGAACCTCCCATCTCACCTGAGACCCAGCTGTGGTCCTCACGCCACATGTGGTCCTGGGCGTCCAGGCCTTAATGATGGTCCTCTCCCATTACCAGGCACCAAGAGGTTTTCCAGTATTTTTCTATTACTCTTCTATAGCCCCTTCACCTGTGCCATAATTGAACTTCTAAAGATAAAAATCACCATCTGGGAAGTTTTAAAAAAAAAAAAAGGTCAAACTAAAAGTTTGTAATTATATCTTAGAATATAAACTAAGAATCTGTCTGCTATAATTGTTGAATACTGTTTACTGACGAAACTGTACTACCAAGCTTCAACAATGTGAAATTTGTCACTGTTCCTATAATGTGAGTTTGCCATTCACTCCTTTTCGAAATTCTCCAAACTATACAGTCTTTTGATGTAATCATGTTACTTCTTAAAGAAAGCAATGCTAATAAAAGATTTAAAAAAAAAAAAAAAAAAAAAAAAAAATGCTTTAGTGAAATTTCCCATAAGGTAAGATCCTGGCTTCAGATCCACACAGATCCACAGCCTGGCCCTGGTCTAATTCTAGAAGTTCTCCTTGTTATTACCCCCATTGTGGCTCCTGTCCAACACAAGTGATTCATTCCTCGCACAGACTCTTTTGGTCATTTATTCCTGTTGCCTTGTCCCTTTTCCCATTGGGCTCTACCCTTTGAAAAAGACGTTTATTGTACCTCATGTGTTCATTGAATCTTCCTTGAACTACATAGTCTGAAATAATCACTCTTTTTAGTACTTACCAAGTATACCATACATTCATGCATTAAAATTATTTTTAATTCATGTATATATGTGTCTCTGTGTGGTTATGTGCATATGTGAGTGTAGCTGTCTGTGGAGTCTGGAACAGGGTGTCAAATCCCTGGCCTTTGTGAACCATCTGACTGACATTGGTGCTGAGTACTGAACTCCAGTCCTCTGCAAGAGCAGAATGCATTCTTAACCACCAATCCATTTTTCCCGTCCTCTTTAATGCATTTCATAAGAAATTAGTCTAAAGTAGTTGGTATAGCAAACTACTTTATGGGATGATATCTTCTCTTTCTTTACCATGACTGCTGTATTGATAATACTGTAATTAGAAACTTTAGAAGCTCATATATATAAGTAATTTAGTTTAGCATATAACCTAGCAAGAAGAGATAAAAAAGATTAAGTGTATAAGTTAATACTGACTCTTTTTTTTTTTTTTTTGTCTTTTGTCATTTGTAAGACAGGGTCTCCCTGTAGCTCCAGCTATCCTGGAACTCACTAGGTAGACCAGGCTGACCTTGAACTCATAGAGATCCATCTGCCTCTGCCTCCTGAGTGCTGGGATTAAAGGCGTGTGCCACCATGCCCAGCAACTAATACTGACTTTTAAATCTCATTCAGCACCTCCTGTTCCTTCTGAAGACATAGATAAACACCGCAGGAGATTTAACATGAGAATGCTGGTCCCTGGAAGGCCTGTAAAAGATGCTACCCCACCACCAGTGCCTGCAGAAAGACCATCTTACAAAGAAAAATTTATTCCTCCTGAACTTAGTATGTGGGATTACTTTGTTGCAAAGGTAAAGAGTATGAGGAATGAAAGCTGTGAGTGTGTCTATTTTATTGACTCTGTGTATGTGTCACATCTGAATGTTGGGGCAGCTTTTAAATTCAGTCACCTCTAGTCCAGAAACCGAGTAGTCATAATAAATTTAAGTATCACCAAATACTTGGTAGTAGATGAGAGAAATTAAAATCATGTGGGACTTAGGAATAAACCAGAAGTCATCTTATTAACATATCATCAACTCCGTCTTTTTACAGTGATAGGGAGTCTGGTGTTTACTCTGTAGCCTCACCCTGCCAATTATCAGTAGTTTCCTTGGTCAGCATAGAATTAGAAAAGAAGAGAAAGGTAGGCATTTAGGAGTTGATCAGGCTGTTGTGAGGTCCTATGACATCACTGTTTCCCTAAACAGGTAATTTGTCTTTGGATCGGAGTGCTCCTGCTGGCTCCTATCCTGATAGCACTGTTTCACATGACACGGGTGCATACTAATATGGCACTTGCTTTTCCTGCACTGTTTGGAAAAGTTCATTACCCTTTTTCCTTTGCTTTATCTCCCTTTTTACATGAGCTAACACTGTAGTCACTTTGCTGTCCATGCCCATACGGAAAGAGCCCAGAGGTCTTTCATGTTCCTGGATTATTTTAGATTTAGCATTTTGTTTGACATTTTGTTAGTGATTCATTTCCCTCCCAGACCTGATGTTCTCTCCCACTTGATCCAATCTATTGGTTAGGTTTTCCTGTGAGGTTTTGTTGACTTTCTAAGATTTTCATTTCAAGTTTTATTTCAGTTGGCTTTTTTTCAGAGATTCTATCTCTTTTTTCATTCTAATTAAAATTCTTGAATTGTTTTATTTTCATTTAACTGTGTTTTGTAGTCTTTATTCAGCTTTTTAATTCATATCTTCTTTGAGTTCTTGAACATATTTATAATCGCTATTTTGAAATCATTGTCTTGTATACTAGGTAAGTTGCTTTTCAGAGGAAACATTATGATAGTGTTGCCAATGTCTGGAAGAGACATATTGTCTTGATTGTTCATATTGTTTGTGTTTTGTGATAAACCTCTATGTGCTGGATAGCTTTAGTGTCAACTTGATACACCTGGGTTGAGGGAGCCTCAATTGGGGAATTGCCTCGATTGGACTGGCCTGTGGCCATGTCTGAGGGGCATCTTCTTGATGAGTGATGTGGGAGGGCCCAGCCCACTGTGGGTGGTGCCACCCCTGGGCAGTGGGCCTGTGTTGCATAAGAAAGCAGGTTGAGCAGGGGCCAGGGAAGCAAGCCAGTAAGCAGCGTTCCTCCATGGCCTGTGCTCCAGCTCCTGCTTCCAGGTTCCTGCCCTGAGTTCCTACCTTGGGCTCCCTGATGAACTGTGACCTGGAAGATGTAAGCTGAATAAACCCTTTCCTCCCCAAGTTGGTATTGGTCAGAGTATTTTGTCACAGCAACGAAGAACAAACTAGGACACTTGACATCTGGAGTTACGATCTTGGTGGTATTTCTTAGAATGAATATCTGATCTTGCTTTAGTTGAATGGCTATTTTGATCTTTGTTTGCTGTTGCTCAAACTTGTCAGATGGTAGATCAGTTTGGTGGTGCTTGATGTTCAGTCTCAGGGCTACTCTATGTCAATGGTTTGAACTCCAGGCATTCTGGAATGGTGTGGAATGGCAGAGTGGGCAGAGTTGTTGCTAGTGGACCTAGTTGGTATGTGAACTTGAACTGGACTCTCCAAGTTGAACTCCATGTGGTCCTGGAGTGGTATGGTGGGCCTTTAAAAGTCTTTGAAATAGAGTTTTGCAGCTCTGTTTTGCTATCTAAAGTCTTTGGTTATATTAGTGGTCTTCAAAGTATGGTCCCAGAATGGCAGCACCAGCATCACATAGGAACTTGTGAGAAATGCAGAATCCTGGGTCCCACCTTTCTCCTTGCCATTCAGAAAATCCATTGCATTGTTAATGTGGATGATAGCAATTTTAAGATTTATAAATGATAATGTATGTGCCAACTTATTTTCTTTTTTAAAAATGTGTTTTCTCTGAGGCTGGAGAGATGACTCAGCAGTTAAGAAAACTTGCTGCTCTTGCAGAGGACCCAGTTTTGGGTGCCAGCACCCACATGGTAGCTCACAGTCCTCTGTAACTCCAGTTCTAGGGGATCTGATACCCTCTTCTTTTCTCTAAGGACACCATACATGCATGTGGCACACTTACAAACATAAAATAAAAATAAATGAATCCTTTAAAAAGTGTTTTCTCATGATCAGTATAGTTAGAAAATGTGGAAAATGCAATATATATATATACATATACACACACACACACATGTGTGTGTGTGTGTGTGTGTGTGTGTGTGAAATTTGAGACCAGCCTATGTTAAGCAAAAGACAAAGAAGAGAAGATGAGGAGCAAGTGGGTAGGGAAGTGGTTGTGTATCTAGGAGGAGAGGGGGGGCTCATAAATATGATCAAAATATATTGTATGAAAATCTCAAGGAATTAATAAAAATATGGGTCTAGAAGATGGTTAAGAGCGGTTAAGAGCACTGGCTGCTCTTACAGAGGTTCTGGGTTCAGCTCCCTGCATCCACATGGAGGTTAACAACCCTCCTTAACTCCAGTTCCAGGGGGTCCAGTGCCGTCTTCTGGCCTCTGTGAGCATTGTACACCCACGGTGCACTTACATACACAGAGGCAAAACACTCACACACATATAAAATAAAATAAATAATTTTCGAAAGAATTAATAAAAATATTTAAAAAATAAGTCGGGTGTTGTGGTGCACGCCCCTAGTCTCAGCATTCAAGAGTCAGATCCAGGCCAGCCTGGTCTACATAACAAGTTATAGGCCAGCTGGGCCTACAGGGAGAACTTGTCTTTTTAAAAAAATAACAAACAATAAAACCCAAATAAAATATATGTATGTACTTGGATCATCATATGTAGTTTTATGTTGGCTTTTTTCAGTTAACATTACAGGTGACTGACTTACACACCATTCAAAACATAATAACTATCATTTAAAAAAAAACGTTGTG